GTTCAAAGGCTGCGCTTATGAACCCTGCAGGACCTCTACGAGCTGAGCGGGATATGTGATCTTTTGCAATGGTGTTCAAAGAACGCCGGCTGGGTGGTTGGGTGCAATTAGGAATTGACTAGACCTGGTGTGAACTTCTACACGCCTATGTTAGATTTGAGATCTGAGCGTGAACCTTACACGCTTAGGTGTGTGCAAGGTGACAGAGTGAACTGTGTGAATCAAAAGGCTACCGTGAAAAAACGTGAAATGTACATGAAAAAACGCCTAATGAACATGAAAAACGTGAAATGTACATGTAATTTTGTTTGGCATATTTTGTGATGTTTTTGATGTGCTTTTGATGTGTGGTTCACAAGCTCCATTTGGGCGTGTTTGGGTTAGGGCGTGTGCTAGAGAACACCTCATGGCGGCAAGGGCGATCGTGGATGCCTTACCATTTCCGATCAAAGACTTGACATGGGAGAACTTGCCAGATGTGGTGAAGGCAACTGGCTTTGCTTTTTCCTCGGCCTGTGACTTGTTGAAGCTGGTCATCGGTGAACCACCGTGTGATCTTGAAGCTAAGTGCAAAATATGTTGTGTGTATTGTGATGTCTTGAGGTTTGCTCAGTTTGTTTGAATGTTGCTGTTCAATATTATCTTTATCAGCTGAGGACATGGCGGCTTTGGAGCAACTATGTGGTGGATCAGGTGGGAAGGGTGCAAGAGCGAAGGGAAAGGCGAAGGCAAAGGCGAAAGGAAAGGCACAGCCGAAGCCGAAAGGAAAGGGGAATGCGAAGGCGAAGGCGACGAGCAGGAAGGTGCAGAAGACAAGGGGGAAGTCACAGGACGGGGGAAAAACCAAGAAGAAGAACCGGGCTGCGGGTGAGGGCCAGCAGGAAGCTGGGGAGGAAGAGACACCAGAAGAAGATGCTGAGATGCATGAGGAAGAGGAAGAGGAAGAAGAAAATGAAGAGGAAGAGGAGGTGCTGGTCATGAAACGGCCCGCGATGGTCACACGGGAACGGAGGCCAGCACTACCGGCGCCTGATGCTGAGGAGCTGCCTATGAAGGAGGCTGAAGCTCCCGTGGCACCTGCGCAGCTGGCGGAAGCTCCTGTGAAACCGGAGGAAGTGCCGGCCATTCCTGCGAAGCCTGCGCAGCCGGCTGAAGCTCCTGGGAATCCTGAGTTTGAAGTGCCGGCCATTCCTGCGAAGCGCATGCGCAGGGCCGATACGCAAGCTGCTGAATCGCAGATTGACTCCCAACTCTCTGGATGGTATCTTGGCTTCTTTTGATTTCTTTTCAAGTTATGTGTGTGTGTGCGTGCAAACCCCATATATAGATATATGTATATACGAATAGATTTGCCTATTGAATGATTACGTATTTTTGTGAGGTCTTGTGGCACGCTGCAAGCGGGATTGGCTGTGGTGGCGTCTCGGCATCCACCCAATGACGCAGTGGAATCATCATCCCAAGCATCAACCTTGCAGTTGGCTGGCGACATTAAATACATCTTTTGGTTTTGCAGTTTGGGATTGGTGTATGTGTTTTGTGTATTTTCTGGCACTGGTGATAATGTTTTGATCCCAGGCTGGGAGACTCAGTCTCAACCATCCCGGCCACCACTGCAGAGCTGGAGCTTCGAGCTGAGCTTGCTCGGGTGCAGGCCCAGCTGGAGGCCATGAAACAAGCTGCGCTGCCTGCAAACAACCAGCCTCCGCAATCCATCAGGCGAGTGGGGGCTCATGCTGACTTGGATAAGCCTGTGTTTGCGGATCCGGACAATCAGCTTGGGCTTGAAGAATCTCAAGCAGCTTCTGACCTTGAGTCAGCTTCTGCTGCAAAGCGAGATTGTGTTCCAGAGGCTGCAGCAGCTCCTGCAGCGCCTGCTCCAGTGGAGCCAGCTCCTGTGGAGCCAGCTCCTGTGGAGCCAGCTCCTGTGGAGCCAGCCCCTGTGGAGCCAGCTCCTGTGGAGCCAGCTCCTGTCGTTGTGGAGCCAGCTCCTGTCGTTGCTCCTGTCGTTGTGGAGCCAGCTCCTACTTTGGCCCAGGCTGATCAAGAGACACAGGCTGAGATGGATGAGGAGGCTGTGCACAATGGTGAAACACAGGTTGGGCTCGCTGAGGCAAAGCAAGTGGATCCGCAGAGCCAGACAATGTCTTCAGAGCCCGATGAGCACACAAAGGCGGATGAAAAGTCTTTGGTGCCTGGTGCGGAGATGCCTTCAGCTGAGGTGCCGGCTGTGGCTGCAAATGCAAAGGAGATTGTGCCAGCTAACCCGGCCGTGCCTGTGTGTGAGAAGGGGCCCCGGCCTGATGGTCAGAAAACGGAGCTTGAGATGTTGCGCACACAAATGGCTGCCTTGCAAGCAAGGCTGACTGATGCCAGCCCTGCAGTGGCAACTCCTTTGCCTCCAAGTCGGGCTACCCCGCCTGCATTTGATTTGGAGGACATTGATGGTGCTCCACTTATGGACCAAGAGCTCATTGACCTCATTCAAAGCACTACTGGCTCTGGGGCGGCTTCATCGCAAGCAGCTGGTGCTGAGCAGCCGGATGCTGCAGAAGCGCTTGACAAAGTAAACTTTGTCACCCACAAGAATGAGGGCGCCAGGATGAGCAGATTTATGGACAGCCAAGAAGCCCGCAAGTTTCCACACATGCTGGAGCTCTGGCAAGGGTCTACAGCTGAGACTTGGTTCAGCTTGATGTCAATTTTGAATGTGTTTTTCTCTGAGTGTTGGTTCCAGGGTTGTCTTTAAATCTTCTCTGCATGATCCTTGGCCAGGATCGGCGCAAGCTACTTCGCATCTGGGTCGAGCAGGGTGAAAACCGGCAGGCCTGTGAGGCCTCGGTGGTCATGACCAAGTCCCAATCCACGAAGATGCAGGGCACCAAGGAATTGGTAAGTGTGCAGGAGATGGTGAGGCGCAAATGGCCCCGCAACAAGATCCTTGGGGCCATCAGGGCAGGGAATGGGGTCAAGGACGAGCATGCGCCGGACGATCCAACTCTGGTGTCATACTGGTGCCGAGTGAGCGCCCAGCAGGTTGATACTACGGAGGTTCGGCAGGACTCCCAGGTGCGCATCCAGAGCCAAGTGGACGCCAATATGATCAATGCGGTCACAGCTGCTCCAACGCTCGATCCAGCTTCCTATGCGCCAAGTGCTGCCATTTCTGATGAACAGCTGCAAGAACTTGCTGCTTCCATTGGTGCCCTGGATTTTGTTTATTATGAAGGTTTATGATAATTTCTTATTTTTGTTTCGGGCTTTTTTTTGAGCTTCATATGATCATTTTCTACTTTGGCTGTGACTGTGCGTATATATATATAGTCTGTGTGTGTTTTTCATGGTGCTTCTGATATAAGGTGAGGCGTCTTTACCTGGTCTTGGAGGTGGACAGAATCAGAATTCCAACAGCCAGGGCCAGGCCAAAACACCGAGATCGAAAGCGACTGCGAAGGGGAAAGCCAAAGCAAAGGCGGGAGCTGGTGGATCAGTCACACAGGAGAAACCCAAGAAGCCTGAAGAGCTCAAGACTGAACTTCGTGACTTGCCAAGTTTTATAAAGATGTTCTAGGTGATTTGTTGAACTGTGAGTGAAGTGTGTCATGCAGTGAATGACATCTATGTTTATGTTAGTGTAACAACCTTAATTAGCCTGCATCTGAGGATCGAGCCTCAAGAAGGAAGTGCAGTCGACTTTATCTATCTTCATGGACTTGCCAAAGGACAGCCCACTTCGCAAGAACTTGGAGCAGTACAAACAAAGGTTTGAAGAGTCTTTGGAGGAGTTTCTCTGCTGTATATATATCTTTTATGTTCATGGATCAGTTCATATATGGTACTCGCATTAGTGGAGATTGGTCAAGCTGCGGCACGAGGCTTAATGGCCTGTCTTCCATGCCGAACTTGCTGGATTTCAAGGATGAACTCGCCGGAACCGTGACTCGTCCAAAAACTGAAACTCCTATGAAACAAAGAACCCTTTTTTGTGTGCATGTGTGAAACATGAACAGGGATTGATTGATATGCTGGATGATGCGTCAGGTGGACGCTATGAAGCTTGTCAAAGCCCAGGCAAAGGCTGTGATCAGTGAGATCAAGAAGCGCTCAAAATAAATGAGCGCACATGTACGTGGCCGGGGGTGAACATCGAATCCCGATAGCTTGCCATACACATATATGAAACTATCTCTAGCCCTTTTGTCAAAAGCGTGATAGTTCTATATCGCTTAAAAACATAAAGCTGAAACACATAAAACCATGGAATGATGTGTGATGTGTGGCTTGACCGGGGTTCAGGTTCCGGGGTACCGGATTTTGGAACCGTTGGTGAGACCATCAACTATGAGCTTCAGAAAAAAGAGTGTTTGCACATGCTCTGCCAAATAATGTTGGCTGTTGCCTTATAAAACCCCCTGCTCCGTACATGTTAATTCGATATAAGTTTTGTGTCCAAAGATGGGGGTTTTATAGGGCAACCATCAACATTATATACATATATTCGGTGTCCACCTTGCAAGTCCTTGCCCCACGCGCAGGTACCGTGCATGAGCGCCTTCAAGAAGATCGCCGGCAACAGCTGGACACGTTGTTCCTTGGCCCGGGTCAGCATTTGGCGAACCGATCGATTGCGCTCGGCATGGATCTGGTACCCGGTACCGTATGTGTTGTTTTTCCAGTTCTACTTGGGTGGGTGTGTAGTTATCTATATATATATATCCTGTGTGGTTTTCCAATAAGTTTGATCCAAGGTTGGCCTCGGGTGTGTCTTCTGGCGGATCCACTGTGAAGCATGCCAGTGACATTGGCATGCTGCTTGGGTCAGATGTCTTCAAGATACTTGGCTGATTAAGATTGCTGCTTGGAAGGGCTATCGAATAATGTTTTGTTTGTTCCCGTGTTGTTTTGATCCTTGGCTCAGTCTGCAGAGCTTATGATTTCCAATCCCCTTCCAAACATCTGGAACTTTTCCCGGTGTGATTTGGGCTCCCTACCAATCCAAGGACTCACGAAGAAGGTGGAGTCCACGCTGCCGCCATGAAGCATGGCCTGGCGCCGGCAGCTGACATCCACTTCATGCAGATCCCAGTGTGCGCGGGCCACGCTGACGATGGGTCGCCTATTTTGGAGATACAAAGCTGGCCGTTCTTGCAGCCACATTTATTGGTGCCCTGTATCAAATTAATATGAAATGTTTCGTTCATTGAATTCTATCAATGTAAAACGTGCAAATATATGTCAACATCAACACATATATATAAAGTCAGTGGCTGTGGCCAACCTACCATAGGTACAATGCTTGCTGGATGAGGGCTTCTTGCACTTTATTTGCAACCCGGCAGAGCTGGTTGGGTATTGGGATCAGCTCCTACGAGACTTTCCTCAACACCCTGCAAGCCAGCGCCGCAACAATAGTTTTCCTATTTCCCTCTATGGACGCTGGATGACCAAAAGAAACCTTTGATTTTGATTTGGTGTTTTGGGGTATGAAGCTAGACTGATTTAAAAGCTTTCCTTTAAGGGATGGCAGGGGTTTGGATTCCTATAAATAAGGAGATGAAGGATCGGCCCTCAATGCATCGTGGATGACATTCCACTTTCAGTGTGACCTAAGCCCTGCATTGACCAACGCTGGAGTTTCGCGCTTCTTGATCACCACAATACCTTCGACCCTGTATCATGAATTTGAACTTACAAGGGGTTGTGATTTCCTTTTTTTGCTTCAAGGTTTAATCGTTTTTGACTTCAGTCGATCTCGCATCACGCAAGGTACATCTATGACCAGGAAGGGGTCAACTTGACGCTGCAGTCGGCGGCTCGTTCCATTACAGAGTCGCTCAACAAGCTGTCTACAGATGGAGTGGTCGTCAGGGATCGCTCGACAGGAGAGGAGGCACTGTTCTTGGGAAAAACACAAAAACATATTTGGAGGTTGGACCATATATGAATCTCAAGTTTCTTTGCGACAGCCCTGAAAAGGTTTGTGCTTTCCATGGCTTCGTCGTCAACTTCAAAGGAGATTGGAAGTATTTGGCGCAGTTGTTCAACATGACCAAAACAGCCCAAAAGGAGGAGGCGCAATGCGCTGCCCAAACCGGCCTCGATATCGGCGCGACCACATCGCCCGTGGGATCATGTTTATATATGTTCAAATCAAACAATAGAAAACCGAGTGTTAGAAATTGATGGGTCGGTTGTATCGCCTGTTCAATAACCCTTTGAGGTGTGCTGGAAATGCGGTGCAACAAAGGGGACCAATGACCCCGAGTTGTGCTACGTGAACTTGAGCCCTGATGCACCGTGGCGGGCTGTGGTGACACCTCCATGGACACAACGTCCGGCCTACGCCGACCTAGCAACTGGTCTTATTTAATCCACCTTTGAAAAAATCCATGCTGATGATGTAGCCACTCACGATCCACGTACTTGTGAGGTCACAAGTTTCATATATCCTTTTTGTGTTTTCTCCCCCTGTTTCATTTGTATGTTTTTGTGTTTCCTCCCAAAAGCAAAGATCTGGCTTTCCTGATCGAGCCTTTGTAAGGTTGGCTTCCATGAATCTATGATTGGAGCAGATATGCTGCATGTGTGGCATCTCGGAGTTGGCCGGGATGCAATTGGCTCGATCATACGAATCTAGGTGAAAGAGCACTACTGGCATGGTGCCAACATCGAGCTTCGACTAGCCCGTGCGAGTGGCTCTTTGAGGCATTGGTGCAAAGCAAAAAAATGTCTTTGACAATCAAAGGTCTTTCCAAACAGAACCTCAATTGGGGTTCTGAGCATTTTGGAACGATTGGAGGTATGCGTTACCTGTTTCTTCTTTTGGGCGTTTTATTTAGGAATCCTTTGTGGTCAAGAAAACATCTTCCGAGGGAGAGATGACAGAGAGAGAGACACTCAGCCTAGGTACCCAGAGCTCCGCTGCAAAGGATCCGACACACGGATAGTTCTGGCCTGGCTTAACGATGAATTGCAAAGCCGCAGCTGCAGAGATGCTGACGTTTCTACAGAGCCTTGGATGTGAATTCTGCGCGAAACTTTGTATTCTATCTATTGTGTTTGCTTGCGAATATTTGATCTTTAAGTTGACTTGATTTTGTCATCCCCTGCAGTTCGTGTGGCTGGCAAATTCTTGGGCGTCGCTATTGGTCAGTGGACCAATGTTCTTGTCCCCGGAGGAGGACAGGCACCGCTTGGTGGTTGGCAAGTGCATGGTGCAGCTCTATGTTCGGATGGCGCGAAAGGCTTTGGATAGCAACTTGCGCCTTTTTCGTTGCAGGCCAAAGCTGCACCTCCTCCATCATATGACGGAGGATGTGAGGCCTAGTCGGTTGAATCCGGCGCATCTTTCGTGCTGGATGGATGAAGATTTCATCAAAAGAATGATGCACGTCAAACGGATGGTTCACAAGCGTACCGCGACACAGAGGTGTGTGGAACGCTACAAGTTGGGGCTTTTGGCAAAGCTAAAAGACGCTGAGAAGAAGCTCACTTGAAGTGAGAGAAATGTATGCGCGTATTGCAGCAACCATGGTTCTGGGAATGCTTCGGGTGTGTGTGTGCAGTGAGGGGTGCTGTAAACTAGCTGTGTGTGTTTGTGTTTGGTTACAAGTTTATATAGTTATATATATATATGCTAGGTTTGTTGGTTTTTAAGGCTCAAGCTGGC